CCCGGAGCCCCATCTCCGCTGACGGCGTCACCGACTGGGTGCAGCGCCGCGTCTGGTGACCGTCCGGACCGGCTGTGTGCGCTGGCCTCGTCCCGTGCAGTGTGCTCAGGGCCAAGAGGCGTTCAAGACCAGGAGGCGTCGCTCTTGAACGCACCGGGCATCTTGAGCGTCTTGAACGTGCTTGCGTCCAGAAACGTCAGTCTGCTCAGATACCCGACAGGCCAATATGACCGGGGCGTGAGATCTTTTCTCTGAGACATGATGGATTCCCTCCCCGTTGAGGCACCCCTCCCCTCTCCCCCGCCCAACCTGCATAGAAAACTTGGCGTACGTTCCATCGAGTCGATGTGGGGCATTACCATGGAGGCATTTTGTCTGGGCAACTCGAAGGGGCTAAGCTAGACACCATGTGAAGTGCAGTATCTGCTGGCACGAATGGGGAGAATGACCATCTGAAGGATATGCACACTGCAAGCTAGACATGTCTCAAAAAGGAATGCAGAATTAAATCTTCTGATGATTTGCATGCATCTCAGGGGCGTTGGTCAGCGGGGTTTCCTACGTGTAGAGCGATCCCGCCGTCCCTCGTCAGTGCATTGGTCATACATTCTGGTCACTGATGGCTCTAATGGGGGCTGGCGATTGTCTAAGCCAAGGCATCGCACAGAGGCCACCAGCCGCGATCGAGCGCCTCGACTCCACCTGAGAGGAGCCGGCCCTGACGCCGCCGTCCGTCCGGCAGCGCGACATGAGCACGGACCAGCTGGAGGCCCACCTGGTGGAGCTGACCAAGAAGGGCGGCAACACGCGCGGCGTGATGCGCCGGCTGGTGCTGGCCCACTGCCGGCAACGCAACCTGGACCGGGCGCTGGCGCTGGAGCAGGTGGGCTGCGCGCAGGAGCCGGCGCGGTCTGGCGGACGGTCACCAGCGGCGCTGCTACGCCAGAGCTCCCTGAACGGTCGTGCCCTTCTCTCGGAAAGCCGCGTCATGCTCGAAGCAGCCGTCCTATTCGCTGGAGCTGTGTCCCGATGCTCAGCCCGGCGGTGCTGCTGTCCCCGATGCTGTGCTCAGCGGCTGTTGCCGTGCTGGCAGGAGCTGCTGCGGCTGGCTGAGGACGGCGGCCGCGAGCCGCTGACGCCCGGCCTGCTGGCGGCCCTGATGGACGCGCACGTGCACCACGGCCGGCTGCAGCAGGCGCTCGAGTACAAGCGACGCCTGGAAGCGCACGTGTCTCACAAACAGAGCGTTGACCAGCACAAGATGATCGACCTGGCCGCCCTGCTGGTGCAGCACGAGCGGTCGGCAGGTGACGGTCCAGCCAACTGGGACGGCGGTCCGCGGACGGGGGTCCAGTGACCGCAGGCTAGGGGCCTGATGACGTCTGTCGTCGGTCTTCTGATGGGAGACGGTGACAGTAGATCGTCTGACGTCACGGGCAGTGGCGGTGTCAGTCGGAGGTCGTGGACGGTTGAGGCCCCTCTTCAGACTACGCGCCGAGACGTTGGCCCGCTGCTTCTTGGCAGTGCTGGTCCGACGGGACAGCGGCGGTGGTAGCCGGACGCCTCAGAGACCTGCGTCAGCCTCTGACTGACTTCACAACATCGGTGTGTGTGTGTGTGTGTGTGTGTGTGTGTGTGTGTGTGTGTGTGTGTGTGTGTGTGTGTGTGTGTGTGTGTGTGTGTGTGTGCGTGCTTGTGTGTGCGTGTGCGTGTGCTGTGTGTGTGTGTGTGTGTGTGTGTGTGTGTGTGTGGTGTGTGTGTGTGTGTGTGTGTGTGTGTGTGACGTCACACCATCGACGTCTGACGTCACAGAGGCCATGTCGCTGGTGGAGCAGCTATCGCCCGCGTTTGTGTGTGTGTTCATGACGTCCCACCGTGGATGTCGGACGTCACAGAGGCCTTGTCACTGGTGGATCAGCTGTCGCCCGTGTTTGTGTTTGTGTGTGCGTAATGTCACACCATAGATATCTGACGTCACAGAGGCCATGCCACTGGTGGATCAGCTGTCGCCCGTGTTTGTGTTTGTGTGTACGTGACGTCACACCATCGATATCTGACGTCACAGAGGCCATGTCGCTGGTTGAGCAGCTGTCGCCGGTGCCGGACGTCAGCCGCGTCGCCATGAACTGCTGGCGGCTGCTGTCGGCGGCCGCGGACACCGGCGACTCGACGCTGGCGCACAACCTGCTGCACCAGCTGGTGACCCGCGGCGTCACCACACAGTCGGCCTACAACCTCGGCCAGATCATCAGGGCGCACGTCACCGCGTGAGAGCGCGCGCGTGGCGTCGAAGGCAGCCACACTGTTGCCGGCGCCCAGAAATGCGTGTTTGGATGGTATATTTTAGGCGATTTTTTGCGACAGATCGTAGGCTATCGCTAGATTGCGGATCACAGCGTTTTCTACCTGCACGAGTGCGTGCCGTACTCTGTTTAACGCTGCTTTTTTGCTGCTTGCTTTCGGTTATGATCCCGGGGCCCTGTTTACTGCGACATGTCGGGTGTTTGTGTGTTTTGGGCATCATTTGCCCTACGACAGAGGGGTCCACATTTGCATAGCGACGTACGTCTGGGAGCAGCCGCGTTTGTCGCCGCAGCGGCTACCGTGCCGCCGCTGCTCCCAGTGTTGCATTTTGACCTGCGCTGTCGGCCGCAGGGGAGATCTGGAGGGAGCGGTGGACGAGTTCGCCCACTGCACCAAGACTCACCGGCTGGCGCCCTGGTCACACGGCCTGCTGCTGGAGGTGCTCAGACTCGCCGACGACGTTCGCAGGCAGCAGCTGCTGGACAGGGTGATCCAGCAGGTGAGCCCGCGATCCGCCTGTGCTCGCCAGTCATCCACCGCTACAGGTGGCTTTTTCCGGGATGTTCCAGCTGGATTTGGTCGTGCGACGGGTCACTTCCACATGCGCCGTCTCAAAGTTATACGTGTCGCTTATGAGTCGATTTTGTGTGTTTTACACGTCACGACCTACGTCCCGTTGTGCGCCGACTGGCGAGGGGTTCGTGTTGCGGCCCGATACGGTACGTAACCGGCTGTCGGGATGGACGCAGTGCCGTGTGTGTCGGGGTCTCCGGCGTCGAGCGTCACGCCCCGTGTGACGCTCGTGACGGTGATTCCAGCTGAGTCACTTGAACGGCACCGAGAGCGCCCAGTGCCAGCTGGCTCTGGCGTACGCCGAGGAGGGGTTCGGGTCGGCGGCGCGCGCCGTGCTGGAGGTGAGGCGGCGCGGGCGGGCCCGAGCGGCGCGTCACCGCCGCGCGGCACGCGGCCTGCTGGCCGCGGCGGCTTGTCTCACGTTGTATCCTGTCTCACGCCCACCGTGTCGGGTCGCATCACATCTCCCACCTGTCTTCACACGATAGGCGAGAGCTTTCCTCGCCTTTGGAGATGTGCAGCCCGTCACCTGACACACGGCCACACCGGTACCGGGTGTCAGGGTCTGCGCCCCTTCAGTCGACGATGTCGGGGGCAGCCGTGTCGCAGGCTGTCTCGCCCTTCTGTTGGCTTGATACTGTTCAGTGCAGCGGTGGAAGGTCGTGTTCGCTTGCTGTGCGTCTCACGAAGTTTGGCCGTGCAGGCCTAGAACAAATGATGCCGACTACATGCGAGTAATCTGGGCAGGTTTGCCGCTTTTACAGTCTCGAGTAGCGTTCAGAGTTCACAATAGTGAGTTTGTGTCGAACAGCCTTCACTGGCAAAAACGTTGCTGGTGTCAGGAATGCTATTTTGTCATCGAACAACAAACCATCACAAGGATATGTTCTCAAACAAATTCATTTCTGACGACAGTATTTGTCGTGCATTTTGCACGTTTCCGAACGCACCCCGGACAATTTGGACAGTTCCTGCTACATTTTTGGTACTGTAAATGCGGCCTTAAACTTCTGAAGTTCACTTGTCCGACGAAACGGGCCGTGCAACGAGTATCGCCAACTTGGAGGTTCAAACGGAGTAGCGCTACTGGAGGGACGGGTCGCGGCGAAACAAAATGACCGACCGGCGCACAGCAGTACAGCGCCGCCAGGTGGGCGGTGCGCGTCGCTGCGCGCATGGGTGGCCACTGTCCTGTGCCCGGCCGTTGGAGTATGCACGTGACTAACACGCACGGCGTTTCCGGCGTCCACAGTCTTTGGGACCGAACGCCCTGTTCACGGACAAGCGTCTGAAGCGACACTGTAACCGGCTGGCGGCCAGCGGGCGGACGGAGGCGCTGGCGCAGCTGCTGCGCGTGGTGCCGAACCGAGGGGCCCGCGGCCTCGTTTACTGGGCGCTGCTCAACGCCCACGGTGCGTACTGCTGCACAAACACGGCTGCCGCACACCGTGGTAAACCGACACCGCACGACCCGCTGCTTCCGTTCAACGCTGGCGGTTTGAGAGTGCGTGCGATGATGCCTGGCTGGCGTAGCCGGCGGTGTGCTGTGCGTCGTTCAGCCGGCGTCCTCTGATCAGGCCGCAATGGTGCGAGTGAAACGGCCCAGCGGCGTCAGCCCGCACGTGAGGTAGCAGCGTCTGTCTGAGTGGTGATTGGTCATGTCTGCCGGGCGTTGACGGTGCTGTGCGGTAGTGGTGATTGGTCGTGTCTGCCGGGCGTTGACGGTGCTGTGCGGTAGTGGTGATTGGTCGTGTCTGCCGGGCATTGACGGTGCTGTGCGGTAGTGGTGATTGGTCGTGTCTGCCGGGCGTTGACGGTGCTGTGCGGTAGTGGTGATTGGTCGTGCCTGCCGGGCGTTGACGGTGCTGTGCGGTAGTGGTGATTGGTCGTGTCTGCCGGGCGTTGACGGTGCCGTGCGGTAGTGGTGATTGGTCGTGTCTGCCGGGCGTTGACGGTGCTGTGCGGTAATGGTGATTGGTCGTGCCTGCCGGGCGTCGACGGTGTGCGGTAGTGGTGATTGTCTTGGTGTGGTCGTGCCTGCCGGGCGTTGACGGTGCTGTGCGGTAGTGGTGATTGGTCGTGTCTGCCGGGCGTTGACAGTGCTGTGCGGTAGTGGTGATTGGTCGTGTCTGCCGGGCATTGACGGTGCTGTACGGTAGTGGTGATTGGTCGTGTCTGCCGGGTTGACGGTGCTGTGCGGTAGTGGTGATTGGTCGTGTCTGCCGGGCGTTGACGGTGCTGTGCGGTGGTGGTGATTGGTCGTGCCTGCCGGGCGTTGACGGTGCTGTGCGGTAGTGGTGATTGGTCGTGTCTGCCGGGCGTTGACGGTGCTGTGCGGTAGTGGTGATTGGTCGTGCCTGCCGGGCGTTGACGGTGCTGTGCGGTAGTGGTGATTGGTCGTGCCTGCCGGGCGTTGACGGTGCTGTGCGGTAGTGGTGATTGGTCGTGTCTGCCGGGCGTTGACGGTGCTGTGCGGTAGTGGTGATTGGTCGTGTCTGCCGGGCGTTGACGGTGCTGTGCGGTAGTGGTGATTGGTCGTGCCTGCCGGGCGTTGACGGTGCTGCGCGGTAGTGGTGATTGGTCGTGCCTGCCGGGCGTTGACGGTGCTGTGCGGTTGCGTGTGAGGCGCTGCGACGCGATTGACCGCGCCCGCTGCTCGGCAGAGGCGGCGGCCGATCTCGGCGGGGTGGAGGAGGTGCTCCGGCTGCTGGAGGAAGAGGTCGGGACCGGCCCCGCCCAGGGCCGGCTGTTCCAGCACGCCCAGCAGCTGGCCGGTCGGCTGCGCGGCCAGTGACGCGCTCAGTCGCGGGCAGGTGACGGCCGTTCCCTCGGGCCGCGCCGGCGCCGCACGCCCATCATCCTGGGCCATGCAGAGTTGAGGGGCACGGCCCTTGGCGGGACAGACGTACAGATCGGGCCAACAGGGACTGGACCTCGTACGGGTCAGCCAACAGGGACTGGACTTCGTACGGGTCCGACCAGCAGGTACCAGACCTCGAACGGGTCGGGCCAGCAGGGACTGGACCTCGCACGGGTCGGGCCAGCAGGCGCCGTACCTCGCACAGTTGTGACCAGCAGGGGCCGGGCCTCGGAGCAGCGTCTGCCTGGCCATGACCCGGCGCTTCTGGGGTTTGTGGCGCCGCCACGGACTGGCCACTCGCTGGCGCCTGCCGTCGCAACGGTTATTGTCGCTGAATGCTGAGTTTGAGTGGGATGTAGTGCGAACTGTGCAAGATGTACTGTGCTTTCATATGAAGGACAATGACACAACGAATCGGCGTCGTGGTTGCCGGTTTTCACGATTTGAATTGGGCCTGGCGTTCCTTGGAAAGTTTTTTTCCTTTAATTTTGTCAAACTCCGCGGCGGAATGTCCCGCAAAAATTGTGCTGACACCAGAACTGAGAACGCCTACACGTAACACGGTCACTGACGCCATATTCACAGATCAAACGACTTGTTTTAAAACCGTATATTAAGTCTTGACCAATTGCGATTAGGAAAGCATAGAGAGCATTCATGTCACAGCGAAGACTCGTATTTAATGCGGCAGCAAAGAAAACCCTCACGCCACTGAAAGACAGAGAGCTGTGCCCACTCCAGAAACGGTCAGCTGCACTTAGTCATAGCGCCAGCCAGCTGCCTGGTTCCAGGTCGTCTGGACCTATCACGCTACTATTTGTAAAGGAAGCAAGATGGGGGTTTGACACCGACCCAGACCGAAACATCCTCGCCATCATGGTAGAAAGACAGGGAAGCCTACATGGAGTCAGTCAAAAGCACGTATGCAGAGGAAATAATGTCAGGATATCCCGGGTTATTGAATCTCATCTGCTCGCTCGTTACAATGCTATCGTACCACGCCTGTCTTAAGCGTAGGCACGCATGTCGGGCTAGCGTGCCCCTGCCGTTAGGACTGCTTGTGTGCCCTCGACGCCGGAGTGTGCCCCGACGCCGGGGCATTCTCCGGTGTGCCCCCGGCGCCGGAGTGGTCTCCGGTGTGCCTCTGGCGCCGGAGTGGTCCCCGGCGCCGGTAGTGGTCCCAGGCGCCGGAGTGGTCCCCGGCGCCGGAGCTGGTCCCTGGTGCAGTGTGCGCCTCCGGCGCCGGAGTGGTCCCCGGCGCCGGAGTGGTCCCCGGCGCCGGAGTGGTCCCAGGCGCCAGAGGGTGTCCCGACGCCGGAGCACCCCCGGTGGTGTGTGCCTCCGGCGCCGGAGTGGTCCCCAGCGCCGGAGTGTGCCCCCGCCGGCCGGAGCAGTTCCCCGCCGTCCGGATCGGTGAGGCTCCGAGGACGGGTAGCGAGCTTCAGCCGGGAGTGAGTCGCTCGGGGAAACCGGAATGCTTTGAATCGAGGTACACAGGTATCACAGGACAATGTCATCACAATAGGATTGTGTGGTGGACTCCACAAGGAAGTCGATACCCACGATGAGTCATGGAAGACAGGTGACCGGTCGAGATAACTGACTCAAAATAAGTCATACCGTCGTACGCACGCGTGCGTACCCCCCCCCCCCCCCCCCGCTCCATTTCCCGTCCCAACAATCTCCAGATCAACACTGGCGAGCTTCAGCTAGCCCAAAGCGTGACGCCAGCTGCCCTGATGTCTCCGGTGATGTCAGCTGCCTTGATGTCTCCGGTGATGTCAGTCGCCCTGATGTCTCCAGTGATGTCAGCCGCCCTGATGTCTCCGGTGACGTCAGCTGCCCTGATGTCTCCGATGACGTCAGCTGTCCTGGTGTCTCCGGTGACATCAGCTGCCCTGATGTCTCCTGTCGTATCAGCTGCCCTGGTGTCTCCGGTGATATCAGCTGCTCTGATGTCTCCGGTGATATCAGCTGCCCTGATGTCTCCGGTGATATCAGCTGCCCTGGTGTCTCCGGTGATATCAGCTGCCCTGGTGTCTCCGGTGATATCAGCTGCCCTGATGTCTCCGGTGACGTCAACTGCCCTGGTGTCTCCTGTGACGTCACAGCTTCCCCTGGCGGCGCCCCCTCTGATGTCGCCGGCGGCCCGTGCCGTCGCAGCGAATCGGACCACTCAGAGCTCGACCCTGCGCTGTCGCTGCGGCTCGGCTTCGTGCGCCTGGCGCGCACGCCGAAAGTGCGGGTGCTGTCGCACGTGGTCGGCGGCGGCCAGCACCTGGCGCACCACCTCACTGACATCTAGCGTGTAGTTGGTAAACTTCTCGTGCGCGCCCAGCTCCGGATGCTCGCCCTGGCCCGGAAAACAGCACATGAGGAAGCGGCCGAGCTGAACAGTTATACGCTTTGCACACATTACGTACAGTTAGAGACAGACGCACACAAGACTTCAGTACCCATGCCGCTAACAGTCTCTCACTGGCCGACGCCTGGCCAGCCAGAACAGGCTTAGACCAGTTTTCAAACAGGCCGGTCGGCGGCGGCGTGAACGTCGCCCACTTCCTCCCGCAATCAAGCCCAGGACAAACAATCGCCGATGCTCTGCCACCGGTGGCGCCCTGACCTCGTTCTGCGGCGTCAGCTTGTCGCGGTGCTCCCAAGTGCGGTAGTGGAGGCCGCGCAGCCGGGCCAGGTCGCGATAGCAGTCCGGGTCCTCGCAATTGTAGAGCTCAAACACGGCGCCCCAGTCGGGTAGCATGAGCATGTGGGTCAGTCCGGCCCCGTGCATGCCGACCAGCACGTCGGAGCCCGCCACCAGCCGTACCTGCTCCAGGAACGGCGTGGCGTGCGTGAACGCCGCCTGCCGGAGACGAGTAGGGTCAGCGCAGAGACAGAAGGAGGGACGGCGCCACCGGCAAGACAGACGGATCGTTACAGAACCGGACAGGCAGATGGGTCAGCACGGAGACGGACAGAGGGACGGGGTCAGCACGGAGACGGACGGAGGGACGGGTCAACACGGAGACGGACGGAGGGACGGAGTCAATACGGAGACAGACAGATAGACAGATCATCACGGAGACGGACGAAGGGACGGGTCAACACGGAGACGGGCAGACAGACAGATCATCACGGAGACGGATGAGGGATGGGTCAACACGGAGATGGACGGAGGGATGGAGTCATCACGGATACGGACGAGGGACAAGGTCAACACGAAGATGGACGGAGAGATGGAGTCATTACGGAGATGGACAGGATCATCACGAACACGGCGAGGTGGCGCCAGGAGCCAAGGATACTGTGCTTATCTGCCGGCGGGTTAGTGTCGATACTCTGAACTGCTGATGTTGCAGCCGCCGTAACGCGTCTCCGGCGCGACGGCGGCAGTCACGGCGCGACGGCGACGGCGATAGTCACGGCGCGATGGCGATGGTCATAGCGTGAAGGTGACGGTCTCGGCGCGACGGCGGCAGTCTCGGCGGGCTCACCTTAATCAGCTGCACGCCGTGCTGTCCGCGCAGCGCCGTCAGCAGCTGCTCCTCGTTCAGCACGCGCCGGTGCCTGGACTGGCGGGAAATCCAGACCACGCGCACTGTGTCGTCGGTCACGACCGTGCGCGGCGCCACGCCCAGACGGTGCAGCACGTGGCGCGAGAAGGCGTGGAACAGTCCGCTGCGCTGACAGCCGGGCACCTGGCGGCCGGCCGGCCAGGGTGCGTTAGGTGGGTTCAACGTCACCCGCCGTGCGTCGCACGTGCTCACCCACCGCCTACCCAGTCAACACGCTGTGTTCAGCACGCTCGCCACACATTGGTCTCTCCCGCCCAGCGTCAGCCCCGCCCCACCGACGCCCTCGCCCTCACTCCTCACCCCACTTCACCCACTGTCAACCACGCTGGCCGTACTTCAGCCTAGCTTCCCGCTACAATCAAGTATCGGGGCGGGTATCTCTTATAGCCGGCGCTGTGGTAAGAACGGTGACCATCCATCCTCCTCCGACGGCCAGAGCCAGGGAGTCCGGTTAGGTCAGTCCCTGACCAGGTGTGGTCAGGGAGCACGGTCAAGTTAGACCCCGATAAAGCGTGGTCAGGGAGCAAGGTTAGGTCAGACCCCGGTCAGGCGCGGTTAGGGAGAATGGTTAGGTCAGACCCCGGTCAAGCGTGATCAGGGAGCAAGGTTAGGTCAGACCCCGATAAAGCGTGGCCAGGGAGCATGGTTAGGTCAGACCCCGGTCAGGCGCGGCTAGGGAGCATGGTTAGGTCAGACCCCGGTCAGGCGCGGTTAGGGAGCATGGTTAGGTCAGACCCCGGTCAAGCGTGATCAGGGAGCAAGGTCAGGTTAGACCCCGATAAAGCGTGGCCAGGGAGCATGGTTAGGTCAGACCCCGGTCAAGCGTGATCAGGGAGCAAGGTTAGGTCAGACCCCGGTCAGGCGCGGTTAGGGAGCACGGTCAGGTTAGACCCCGGTCAGGCGTGGTCAGGGAGCATGGTTAGGCCAGACCCCGGTCAAGCGTGGCCAGGGAGCATGGTTAGGTCAGACCCCGGTCAAGCGTGGTCAGGGAGCATGGTCAGGTTAGACCCCGATAAAGCGTGGCCAGGGAGCATGGTTAGGTCAGACCCCGGTCAGGCGCGGTTAGGGAGCATGGTTAGGTCAGACCCCGGTCAAGCGTGGTCAGGGAGCATGATTAGGTCAGACCCCGGTCAAGCGTGGTCAGGGAGCACGGTTAGGTCAGACCCCGGTCAAGCGCGGTTAGGGAGCATGGTTAGGCCAGACCCCGGTCGAGCGTGGTCAGGGAGCATGGTTAGGTCAGACCCCGGTCAAGCGTGGTCAGGGAGCATGGTTAGGCCAGACCCCGGTCAAGCGTGATCAGGGAGCATGTTAGGTCAGACCCGGTCAAGCTGATCAGGGAGCAGTTAGGTCAGACCCTGGTCAGGCGGGGATAGGGAGCAAGGTTAGGTCAGACCCCCCGGGACGGTCAGGAAGCGGTGCACGGTCAGGTAGACCCGGTCAGGGGGTAGGATGGTGAGGCCAGACCCCGGTCAAGCGTGGCAGGGAGCATGGTTAGGTCAGACCCCGGTCAAGCGTGGTCAGGGAGCATGGTTAGGTCAGACCCGGTCAAGCGTGATCAGGGAGCATGGTTAGGTCAGACCCCGGTCAAGTGTGGTTGGGGGGCATGGTTAGGTCAGACCCCGGTCAGGGACGGTTAGGGAGCATGGTCAGGTTAGACCCCGGTCAAGCGTGATCAGGGAGCACGGTTAGGTCAGACCCCGGTCAAGCGCGGTCTGGGAGCCCGGTCAGGTCACATCTTGATCAGGCCCGGTCAGGAAACGGGATCTGCTAGCTCTGTTAAGACAGCTGGCTAGAACAGCTGCGCGACTGCAACGATTTAAGCTGAGTTTGACGATGCATGCAAGTACTTACTATGGCATATAAACGTCAATGCTACAAATAATGTGCACATGCATTTGAGTGTGCTACATTGACTTTGTGTCGCACAGCTTCAGTGCCGCCATGCAAATGTCAGTTAATTCAACCCACCCTTGGCCACCTTTGGTTCTGTATTTCCAATCGCCTGCCGACCTCGTGACATTGGTATGATATCACCCACAGCTATCGCCAGCATGGGGCCACTCCGCTGCTGCATCACAATTCCACGACCTGACCTGATCTAGCCCTTACTAGCGGCGTGTTGTAGAATAGGCCGAAGATCATGCGCGGCGGCAGGGGGAAGACGACGTCCTTGAAGCACACTCGTCGGCCCATTACATCGTTCAGGCTCCACACTGGCCGGTCTGAGAACACCTGGCGGCCGCGGTCGGTGCCAACTTAGTTCGGGCGCTCGGCGGCCGCCCGTGCCTGGTCGGGCGGCGTCCAGGACACCTGCTACCGAACATCTGGCGCCACTGGGCCACCGAGCCGCACACCGGCACCGAACGAAACGCCCGTCACATCCGCATGACGGATAGTAATTTCCGTAATCTTATGTTTATATATATATATATATATATATATACATATATATATATATATATATATATATACATATGTGTATATAATCTACACTGCTCAAACGACACAAAAAACATGGTGCCCAACATGTTGCAATCAATATCTACCAGTTGGTGCGATCTCTAAAACCTGCAAGCGTTTCTTTCCCACCCTCAGAACGCTGGTAAAGAACTAAATGCAGACCTTCCATCAAATCGATCCATCCACTGGACCATCTTAACTTTCAGAACTGACAGCGTGAGGTTAAGCTCCTGTAATCTTTAAAGCCTTTAAAGGAACAACACGACAGAACAGCCCTAGGACATGGGCTGGAAGGTGAAGAGTGCCAGGGCTCACCTCGAACATCTCCTGGAAGGTGGATCGGTATGGGACGTTTTCCCACACCAGCAGCTGCTTATCGGTGCTGAAGGAGCCGGGGTGGTCGCCGTGCCCGGACTCGTTCAGGTGCTGGCTGGCGTACAGGTTGAAGAAGTCGCAGAAGTGGTGGTACATGCTGACCGCTGTGAGACAGACAACGTCAGTACAAACAGTCCAGGACACAGACACATCGTTTCCCGTCGCCCAAGTCCTGGACAACTTAAATTGAGCTAGAAAAAACGAGCAATCGACTCCAATCGTAATACAGCTAGCCTATGTACAAAAATGAACAGGCATTGTAACATGAACAATAAGTCCCAAACATATTTACTTTCCATGGATCTATAGAAGGTGGTGGCACCTGAGCACAGCTTATAATCTTCCTTTCTATGATTTCTCCTGGGCCAGTGTCAGAAGCTGCCATGAAGCTCCCAATATGCGATATAAGCTCCGGCCTAGTGCCATTTCTTTCATCAGGAGATGGCACCCTGACATCTCCTGGCCTTCGAACAGGGCAGATGGCGCAGCTGACGGAGCGGCCACGAGGGCCACTGACATGCGTCGATCTTCATGATGTAGGTGGGCGTAGTGACGACCATGTCGCACTCCTCGGGCCCGAGCGGCGGGCCGTCCACCAGGTGCTGGATCTCAGGCGACCACGACTGCAGCGCGCTCATGAACTCCAGCTCCTCCGCCAGCCGCGTCCGGTTCACCCTGGCGGCGCGGCGCACCAGCCTCACACTGACGGGCCGCGGCACCGGACAGACACGTGCGGCGGCGGCAGCGATCGGGCCGGGCGGATGGCCCCACTCCAAAACCCATCGGTGAAAGGAGCCGCGCTTTGCGAGCAGGCCATCAGGGGAGACAGCCGCGAGTTCGCAAGGGATCATAGTTGTCGGGCACGTGTCTGGCAAGGAGACACTTCAAGCCGCACACAGCGCCAACAGCAGCGGCCGGTGTTTAGTAACCAACATCACTCGCGTTCATATTACCAGGCAATACCAAATAGAAGCCTGGCTGTATGAAATTGATCCGTGAGCAGCCTTTCACTGTGGGCAGATATATTTTGTTCAGCACAGACGAATAACTTCCGAGGACATTAAGCCCTGGCGCCGCTCGGCGTAATCGACCGACCCGCAGTGTCCAGAGATCTGGCCCGGCTTGAGCACATCCATCTTGTAGCGCAGCAGCTCGTGACGCCGCTCGGTGAGGTCCCGGAAGTCCAGCCGGATGTTGCGGCCCCGACAAAACTCCATCTTGGCAGTGCAGTTTAGTGAGGATGCGTCCTGGGCACACCCACACCTATGTTAAGCATGTGATCACTGGTGTGCGTGGTCCAGGGTAGGATGGGTAATGGCCCTGGGGGGCATAACATGAATCCTTTTTCAATCCTTTCCACATAAGTATGTGCAGTTCTTCCTTGCCACACACTGGCTTTTTCATTTGCATGTAGTACCTTTGTTTTGCTATGGTTCCATCTCACCAACGAAAACTGCTCTGCAACTCAACAGCAAAGCTTACTCTCTATGTTCATATTCATTTATGTATTCATCTAATTCAACTCTAATAAGCCTGCACTTAACTCATCTTTTTTTGAGTGGGAGCCAATTTAAAGTAATAATAACTTAAAGGTGTTTGTCAAAAGACCACAACAATGTAAATATCTTAGATTTCATTGTATAACACAGATCTTGAGCTCCTGGATTACATATGATAAGGCAGACAAGTTAGATGCCAGAACTAAAAATGTTGATACCCCATGCTTGTACCAGCTCACTCAAAGTAGCATCAAAGGTTCATCACATCACATGATTCTTACCTGTGTTTTATGTAGTGGAGTGCAGAGAGAAAACAATGACTTGTGACGCTTCTTAATGTATCCAAAGTCTGCTTGCTCATAGTACATTTCCAGCTGCTCTCTCCTGGATGATGTCCAGCCTTTACTTTTGCCATCACAGTCTGGGATCAGATATGACTTGTATAATGGACAGTAATCTTCATAGCCCCAACACAGCTCTTGATCCAGATAGGGCTGAAAAGGTTAACATATGATTAATGGGCATATTAAGACACAGATGCACATAACCTAAACATGGTTATTAACAACTACAAAGTTGAATTCAGAACATAAAGGCCAATCAAACACTGCCAGATCAAACATTGCCAGACCACACCTGCCTTAAGAGGCCACCATTATGTTGGTACCTAAATGCTTATTGCTAGCTTCTCATTGCCTGCCTTCATTATATTATTTAATATAAATCAACCCAATTTAAGCAGGCTTGGTCTGAGGTTTTGATGATATTGTCAATGTAAAGTAGCCTATGCATACACACCAAATGTGGCATCAGTGTGCTGAAACCTGACATTCATGTACACCAGTCTCAGGTTAGGCCAAGTTGAGCTGAAATTTCAAGTGCATGCTTTGTGAAAAAACATTTACTTAAACACCATTTGATTTACAATGTAAATGTGCTGAAATTATTGTTGTGATATTGCTGCCACAAAAGATGCAATCAGTGTGACACACAGTTTTTACATTCTGGCCAGCAAGTACAAGGATTTGTCAGCATACCTCAAAGAAGCACTTTTTGGGCAGTACCAATCCACAAAGGTGCAGATAGAGCAGCACCTGAACAGCTTTCAAAAAGTGAGGATTAGATCTGAGTGTCTGGTACAAAGCAGGCTGCAAAATATTGTCCCTGCTCCAAATATTTGCAAGCCAACTACTTTACCAATTGCATGAACAGAAAGAGGGCATACTGCATGGGTCCTGAGCATTAATATGACAATGCAGTTATTGGTGTTCCATTAAAGGTTTGACAATGTGTCACATTCTCCTTACAAAAAGAGATAAACAATATGGACTATCCTACAGGGCATTCTGCCATGGCCTTTATGTGAATGTTATGTACAGCATGCCATTGTTAAAAATTGGAAAACAGATCCAAAAAAGTCATGCCATTACTTACCCGAAGCTCACAGCTTGAGTTTTGCCTACAGCTCTCAGCAAACTCTGGGTGTGTACTGACATAGAATGGAACATGCTCTGGGTGTAGCCGGAGCTCAGAGATCAGATTACCAAGTCCACATGCACACAACAGCACAAAATTGAAGCCTAAGTTTAAGTAATTCATTGACGAAGTCTCAATTAACTATGAAATCCACTGTCTTCAGACGTTGTCAATGTTGTGGCTCTTCGCGCATAGCTTTCACAGAGCTATTAATCAGGTGTTTCAAGATTCAACCCAACAACCAAAAATGCAAAAAACCTGTCGGTAATGATTTCAGTCCTAATACCACGGTTTAGAAATAATTAGAAGAACCGTGGCGACAACCGGCACGACTCTAAGGCCCACACAGAATGACAAATGCAACCGCAAGCACCGTGTTTGTATCATACGCGTGAGAAGTGTCTGCAAAATTACGCCGCGTTCAGCTGAGCTTTGTTGTGAGCCCTAACGTCAAAGAACATCCATGCCCGATAAACGGGTCGCAGCGCCAGCAACCCGCAGGGCGAGGGAAGGGGGGCGCAGTGGCCAGGCTCCCGTGGTGACGCTGTAATTATCTAAAGGTATGCATGCATCTAAACGGTATGAAGAGCCGTGTCTATAACAAGCATGCACGGATCTGCTTTCCTGGGGTGGAGTTGTTAAGCAAGAAGATAACCCAGAACATGAGGAGGGCATCGCTCATTTAGAGCTACTGGGCCTGCTGAGCCAGCCTTTCGAGCCACCTCATCCCTAGACATGAATAATCACCCAGTCAAGCATACACAGATAAAAGGCTCAATAATTTTGGCCTACATGGACTATAACATGAGCAGATATTGCAGGCAACTGCCAAAACCTGGATAGAACTTCACACTGCTCTGAGGTTATTTACACCTTCCAGCACTGGTCAAAATAACCTAGTGTGTTACTTAGAACTTGGAACTAGTTATCTAAAACCATTCTCTTTAATTTCCCACTGGTACACACCTGCTCAAACATGAGCTAGGTAATTCTTGTTGGCACATTGAGCAACTGGAGCTGTGTTCTACCTGGTCGTCTCGTTCACATAAAGCTATAGTCGCAAGGTTGGGTTCTGAATGATGCTGCATAGGTGATTATGACTAAGTTTGTTAGGGTGTTTCATTGTGTTGATAACCCAATGTGATTGTGTTCTGATGTCTTAGTACACTTCTAGAAGCAAGGATTTGTTTCACAGTGTTGTGACTGCAGGCATGCAAGGTAACTTTGAGAAGCAATATTTACTTTATGTTTAGGTCTAGTACAAAATGATAGAGAGTCTTAAAATCATAACCTAGGTATATCTTAGGGTGGTCAGTGCAAGGTTTGTTATTATTTATCAGCTGGCAAAACCAAGTTTTGATAGCTGCAATTAGCTAAGGCTTTGGTAATAAGTCTGGAAAAAGGTGAACCTATGTTTGGTGTAATCATATAATCACAACTGGTGAGCTGGAAAGAAAGTTGTCTGGGCAGGCTCATATTTGGCTTCACAACTATTCCATTATGTTAAAACAAAGAAGAAAGGGGCATGCTGACCTTTGGTCCAGCCCCCATCCTCCAAGTTACTGGGGTCCTTCACTCCTAATCATCATCTAGCAAACATTAGCTGTGTCATGGCCTTCAGCAGTATAGATGTCACTGCTGATGATTTTAAAGTGACATATTGGAAATGAGGCCATCTTTCACTTGGTAGCCTGTGGCCTATATTCATGGCCATAGCCAGCAGATGCCTGCTTGCATCCACTTGCTGACTTAGACCACCCTGTTTCCAGGGTTGAACATGGCATCTGTACCTCCCATGATTGAGCCCGCCATGGCCAAGCTGACAGCTCAGCACACACACTTGCTGACGTCCCAGTATGAGGTGATCCGGCTGATCCTCTCATACCTGCCGTCGCCTCTGCTTTATGCGGCGCGCGCCGTCTGCAGCGTGTGGCGTGACGTGGCCGATATCGTGCTGAAGCAGCGGCGGGCCGGCGGCGGCGCCGTGCTCTGGGACACAGAGCCGGCGCTGGCCGACGACGAGCCGGCGGCGGCCGCGGCCGGCCGCCTGCTGCGCCGCATGCTGGCGCGCTGCTACGCTGAGCCGGCGTTGGCGCTGTTCGTGCAGTCGCTGAAGGATGGCGCGCAGCGGCGTCTGGTGCCGCACCTGGAGCCGCTGCTGCCGCCCGGCTGCGCGGTGGCCGGCGTCTCGTCCCGGTCCGGCTGCGTAGCCACCCCGCACGGCAGCGCGCCGCTGGAGGAGCAGACTGGTGGCCGGCTGGGCCTGCTGCTGCTGCCGCGCCGGCGCGGCGCCACCGTCGGCGCGCGCATGGTGCGCGTGCGTGCTCCGGCCACGGCCGAACAGCTGCGCGCTCAGCTGCCGGAGGGCGCCTGGGACGAGCTGCGCGCTGCGCTCGTCTTCTTCAGCTCGCGTCGCGGCATGCACGCCGCCGAGGCGCTGGCGCGCCTGGTGCGCGCACAGTTCGACGGCCGCGTGGCGCTGGCCGGCGGCTGGGCCGACATGATGACGCCGCGCGCGCCGGCCGACGCGCTGCTGCTGGTGTTCTTCAGCGGGTCGGGCGTACGCGCCGCCTCGGTGGTCGTGGACGACGACAGCGGGCCGCAGCCGCCGCGCGACACGGAGGCGGCCGCGCGCCGGCTCGCGCAGCTCCGACTGCCGGCCGCGCACACGCTCGGCTTCATGGTGGCGTGCTGCGCGCGCGGCCAGCACGCTTTCGCGCCCGGCCACGAGGCGGCCGTATTCGCGCGCCACCTGCCCGGCGTGCCGCTGTTCGGCGCGTTCGTCAACGGGGAGTTGGGCAGCACGACGCCGGCCGGCGAGGGCGACAAGTCGCGGCCGCCGGCTGACGACGAGGCCATGATTCTGTCCTACACCACGCTCCTGATGCTGGTGAACTTTTCCGGAGCGGGGGAGCGCCAGAAGACGTGACGCGGCCTGTGGGTGCTGCTCCGCCCGCACTGGAGAGCACCCGTTGTGTGCCGCACGTGTAGTGGACGACTTAGCTGGTTTCAGGTGATAGACTCATGCAGTGCTTGTGGCTGGTACCTGTGAAATTTCTACGGTGATATCGGATGGTCGAGTGATATATCGGGCATCGGAACCTTTCCACCAGGTGTGCGGTTGTTCATGTATTGCACGGTCGGTAACGTATGTGCAGGATTGTGTGGCCGAGTTTGTAAGAGTGGTATTCTATTGGACGATGCTCGACGTGCCGGTGCTCCGGGCGGGTTGTGCCTGCTCATGGCCCAAAGTTTCAGTCCTTCTTTTGATCGACTGTCGTTTTCTTTTAGTTATGGTAATCCTGCACCCAGAGACATATATTTGCTCGAGCCACGTGCTTTTGCTGCAGGCAGCGGCGCGGTCACACAACAGGTGTGTAAGATATTGAGATGTTTTCGAAACTGCCGCACAGCCAGTGGTTGGGCGATCAGGCACGTCGCCCATGATCGGGCTGTTAGCGTCTCGCCGCTGACAGCATCACCTGCCAGCGAGTTGCCGGCTTCCCACGGCTCGGCTATGGTATCTGCTGTCCTGTTGTTGAGCCCCGTCGGCCGCCGCTGGCAGGCATGGCGGGGGATTTTCAGGTGCTTTGAGGTGTTCTTCGGGTGCCGTAGGCGCGAACGTGTTCGTTGGTCGTGTGATGGCGTGTTGCATCTCAAACTAGCCAACCAGCTGAGCCTCTCCAATATCGTTCCAATTTCTCTGGGAATACATGGCGAGACCCGATGATCGAGCGGGGATCTTTTACGGCTTTTACTGTCATGGAATTTTGTCTCTCTGTCTGTTTTGCTTACAACGCAGAGGTTGACCAAGTCCATTTAAAGACCCAGATGAAACTTGATGGGGATCACGAATTGAGATGAAACGACCGCTTTACATGCATCACGGATTGCAAACGACTTCCACACTTTATGTCCGCTCTTCGCATGATTTACTGTTAGGATAGGGCATACTCGCCGCCACTTAAGCGTTTGCACTCTTAACTGTAAAGTGGCGCTATATTTGTTTAATTGCATACAATGGCCTCATCTGAACTCATTCGTGCTTGCCTGAAAAAGCAAACATGTAGGTATGCATACAATAGAAACCGGCCCAGGTGTGGCCACCCGACGCCGTCCACATGTCACTTGTCATTGGAATTGACTGCAGGCGTCGAAATCCCCTTTGCCTTAGCGCGGGGGTGGGCGTACGCTCGCGATCGTGGTGCCGTTTCATGTGTGAAGATCAAGGCAAGTTACCGCGCGTTTTGACTGTGGGCGTGTCCGATGCGTGGGTTAGACTTGTCACGCCGCACGGTCACGTGACGGCGATCACCGGGGCAAATCCTTAGATAATATGCTGGACAGCCATGGAGCGTTATCAACGGTGTCGTCAGATTTTAGTCCTATACTCTCGGCAGGAGCTCATCCATGCTCCCCCTCCCCCCTCCCCCCGCTAACTGCGTGCGCGCGATATGAGTACAGTCACGTATGTCAAGGCGGCCCATGTTCAGCCCGCTCAGTATATTTAAGCGGCCCCTCGAAAACGCCGAAGACATATCACGTGGTGCCTATCGATCTGAGCATGCGGGGAGGCGTCGACATGGTAACTGCAGAAGCGCGGCCTCCATGGCAAGGTGCGCACCTGCTCTTACTATTCAGTGAATATATATTCACACAGGCGTGTCATATGTTAAAAGCAATGGGAAGAACTGGGATGAGGCACAACTATCACGGATGAAATAATTGTTAGGACCGTACTGTACTGAACTCGTCGTCTGACCTGAATTCGCCCCCAGGTCTAGGTCTAGGAGCGATTTTCCCCCAGGAATAGGTCAAATTCGAGCCGGCCTCTCTCCATAGTGAGTCTACCCTCTGCCCACTGGGCCCACGAGATGTTGCGTACATTCGCTATTTTCCATAGAGATATAGCACGTCAGCCACTACGGCAAGTTAGTCGGCCCCTGCGATTTCCCTCATTTTGATCTTTCCAGCAATTGCTTGTCAGCCACATCGACGGCCATGGGAATTAGCCTGGGAAATTGATTATCTCATCCCACATGTGAATGCAAAAGTGAAAGCTAACCAAATGTAATCGTGTTGCACACAGTCGGCTCGGAAACTGTTCACTTTTTCATCGTATAGATCAGCAAGTCAGCGGAACGACTGAGCTGTCGGCACGTGCCATTCCTTGTGTTAGTCTATCGGTGGCTTGAGGTAATGCACATCGTCCAGCATATGAATGAGCCTGCGGGGCTTCTCACCGGAAAGGAGAGATATCTTACCAAGCAAAGGATCTCATCAAGTGTGGTCGCGCGCGCAACCGGTGTGTGACGCGGCCGGGAAGAATGCCAGTATAAGCAGAGTACCAAGCACAGGTTG